AAACTTTCGAATATCTACCATATGCTGTATGAATTTCTTTTATGATTGAATTGTTGATATTTTATTCATTATTTTTATTTTAGTTTTATACTATAGATAGAACCACATTTGAGTACAAAAAACTATTGTTTATCCTTTATTTAATGCATAAAAAAACATGAAATAATTCATAACTAAACGTTCTGATTTAATAAACTAACGTTCATTCAATTAAATATAAAATTATCAAATATCCCAATTTGCGTATAACACAAGATTCTCATATATGAGTTAAGTATATGGCATATCATATACAAAAGTATATAACTCTTCAATATATCTAACTGAGGTAAGAAAAATCAATACATATACTTTACCTGTAGTTTCTCTTTCCGTCCCAGATTCCTACACAATTGAAGATGTTGTTAATGCTGGAGGCTTCGGAAAGTTCCAGTTGAAGCTGACATTTTTGTGCTGCTTTGCTTGGGTCAGTTTAATGTTATTGTTAAAGGTTAAATTCGAAATAATCATTTACTGTTTCTTTCTGTAACTTCGTCTTCTGTTTATACTTTACAATATATAACTTATTAAATTTTGATAGTGTTCAAGGGTTATTTGTGTTACTATTGTATCATATATGTTTTACGTAATTTGTACAATTTTTGCTAGCTTTCCTAAAGCACATATCGCTTACCCACTGTTCTAAAGCTAAATCGCAGCTTACGCTGAAAGTCGATAAACTACTGGAAAACCTATAGTCCTAAAAATTGTAATGAAAACACCTTAACTGCAGATGTTACTATCCTCTTATATCTATAGTTTTGTGTAAAAACGTGTTGTTGAGATAAATTTTACTGGTTACTATAGGACATTTTGTTATAACTCAGAGGCTGCAGGTATTTTTCTATCGTCCTATATAAAAAGGTGCTCATTATGGTAAATCGGCTGTAATTTCTGGATTTAAAAACTTCATCATTATCTTCATCTGGATTATGTCCATGTTTTGGACCAGAGAGGGTCAGGTTCAACGTAGACCTCTTCCTGCCTCTCTGGAATTGTTATTTTGTTTGCACTGTTACTGAATCCTAGCTAATAGACTAAGGTATACAGACTTTAAACTCCATTTTTCGCGCTTTGACAGACTGGTGCTGCCATCATGCGATTGGAGTGGAACAGCAGCTTTCTCTGTCGTGTGTGTGATAAACACATTAAGAAACTTAAGCCGTCACATGTTTACAGTTTATTACCCAGTGTTGTAAGTTAGCAAACTGATAATCTATTACCACTCTAGGTACACATTATCATATACAATGATCCTTTAATCCCAATGGTATTTAAAGATTAGTCATTTGAAGATCAAATGGAACTAGATGCATGTCCAGATGTGCAATCTTAAATAGGCATGTTGTGAAAAAACATGTCTTCTGCTGATGGTTTAGAATGTTGTGCTATAAACTGAAACAACTATTCTCAAAGAGTTAAAGACGTGGCATATCACAGATTTCCTCTACCTACAAAGGACAAGAAGAGGTGAGTACCAAATAATTCTATAAATGTTAGTTCTGTTAGCATATGTTTCAATGCCAATGGTGTAGCATGTACTCCATGTCGAATTGCTTGTAGCTAGATATATTGACACGTGTATGTGAAATCACTAAAATAATATAAGAATTATCATGATACAATGAATATATTAATATATAATTTATGTTTATTAAAAGTTTAACCATATTAATGATATGTATGATTGTTATAAACGTACGAATAATAGAAAATACTCATATTTGTGTATACATGTTAGTTTTAAATACACTAACCGACACTGGACAACAAACAATTTGCTACTGGAGAAAACTCGAATGATTCAGGATAATTTCATAGTTCTGATTTCAAAAATGTTATCAGAATTTCTTCATCCCTTCTAAATTTTGAATTATTGTAATATCTCAATATTTTATCAGCACTATGTGAACTACCATGCAATCAACTCATTACAATAGATTTATGCGGTGAAAATAAGTTTACTAGGACAGTTTAATGGGTAGAATGCATACATTTTTATGGCTTTAAACAATGACTGTATTGTATATGTGTAAAATTCCAAATATATTGTTCGTATATGCTATTTGTTCTTAATATAAGTGTAGCTAATTGCACGACTTTTGCTTGATTTTCTCGCTCACCTGCTCCGCCAAGCAATCACGAAACCCTCACGTGCTCAATTTGCTAGAACATTGGAGAAGTCGCTCGAATGAGCATAAAAGAGTCAGAGTCAGATGCCTTGTTCTCAGTTGCCCCTTACACACTCAGTTGGTCACTTCGCCTCGCTCCACGCAAAGTAATTTCAAAGATATAAACAAATTCTGCAAAACTTTTTTATAAAATTTCTTAAACTCTGGTTTTATTAACATAAATTATTTTACATTTTTAGAAGATAACTTCGAATTCTGGCTGCCTCCAGTTCAAGTAAAGTCCTGAAGTGCAAAAAATTACCCAAACAGTTTCTACTACATTTCTGGAAAACACATTACAGTTTCAGGAAAGAAAAGCATTGCACACAAGGTAAAGGTAGCTTACTACCACTATTTTGGGTGTAAAATTGGTGACCAAGAAAAACCTTGGGCTCTACTTGTGTACTGTACAGTTTGCACGTCAGGCTTGACACAGTGACTGAATAAGAAGAGAGTGAGTATGTAATTTGCAGTTACCATGATATGGGGTGAGTCAAAGATCATCTAACTGGTTAATATTTTTATGACTTATGATTCTGGATATTCAAGAAAAACTAAGCAATACATTAAATACCCAGATATTCATCTGCAATGAAACCAGTACCTCACGGGGATGTTTCTCCAATGCCACATCCATCAGAGAACTGGGAAACAGAAAGGTTATCCTGCAAAGAAAACGATAAATCGTCTTCATCCTCTTCATCTAGTAATTCTATTTCTAAGCCATCTCAACATAAACTGCCTCGTATGATCACACAAGAAGAGCTAAATGATTTGATTCGTGACTTGTCTCTATCAAAACAGCATGGAGAACTTATTGGTTCTCGTTTACAGCAATGAAATGTATTAGCTCCAGGAACAAGAGTCTCAATTTATCAAAGTTGCCATCATATTTTTCTCCTCTCTACAGCATGCAAGAAACTTTGTGTTTCTGTACAAATGTTGATGCACTAATGGAAGAATTAGGTACTGAACATCATCCTGAAGAATGGAGACTTTTTATCGATTCATATAAAGTTAGTCTGAAAGCTGTACTTTTGCACAATGGGAACGCTAAGAATATGAAAGAAACTTACCAGATCATGCAGATGATACTTGAGACCATCCAATATGATCACCTTAGGTGGAACATATGTGGTAATCTAAAGGTAATGCACTCCTGCTAGGCCTGCAGAGTGGGTATGCCAAATATTGTTGCTTTTTTGTCACTAGGACAGCCAAGATGATAAAAATTATTTCAAAAAGAATAAATGGCCAGTGGGAGAGAATTACATACCATGGAAACAGAATGTCGAGTATCAACCTTTAATGAATCCCATAATTGTTTCTGTCTGCACTTCATATTAAACTGGGACTCATAAAGAATTTTTTAAAAGGAATGAAGAAAGATGGTAATAGCGTCAGATATCTATCTAATAGTGAAGCAAAAGTGAAAGGACATATCTTTGTTGGGCCATAAATTTGGAAAGTGCTAATGGATGATAATTTTGAAACAGTACTCTATCAGAAATAACCTACTGTCTGGACATCATTCAAATTGTTTGTCGAAAGTTTTTAAAGAAATCACAGAGATGAAACTATGCTGTGATGATTGATGATATGCTCTAGAACTACCGGAAAATGGGATTTAGGATGTTGCTAAAGATTTACTTCTTACACTCCCATTTATACTTCTTTCTAAATGATATAGGTGCAGTGAGTGATGTGCATGGTGAGTGCTTCCACCAAGATATTTCTAGAATGAAACAGCGATGGCAAGAACGATGAGATCTTACGATAATGAGAGATTACTGTTCGTTCATACAGCATAAAACTGAGAGCATACCCAAAAAGCGCAACAAATCAAGCAAATATTTTGCAAAAAAAAATAATAATAATAACATCGTGAAAGTTTTGAACATAGCCCGAATGTGTTTTCAGTATATAATCTTATTATACCCATTGATTTTTAAACCTTTTATTGATATTATGTATTGATTTTGAACATTCTTAAATGAAATTTGTAATGAATAAATAAGGTTATTAAAGAAAAAGTTATTTTCACGATATATAAGAATATTTAGTATAAATCTATCATAACTCAAAAACTAGAGGTGATGAGTAATTTTCAACATGACTTTTAGAATCAGAATCATCAAACTACCTAGAAACAGTTGAATTTTTCCTAGTAGTATATATATGATCTAGAGAATAATGAAAATGCAGGCATCATTTATTTGTTGTTGTTTTTGTAGTTTTCTTGTCATATTATGGTTATTTAGTATAAAATGAAAGGGAGACGTATTACTGTTTGTGGGTTGTTGTAAAGTGATACTTAACTGACAGTACACATTGCCATTTGACATCTAAAATTGCCTTATATATAATATGTATTGTTTTCCCAATATACATAATTTGTGTTGTTATGGTAAACTTCTTACAGTTGTTATGATAAACATAGTATCTCGTAGTAAAGCAAATGGATCTTACATAATAATAGATAGCAATGTATGGATATATGATGTATTTGACGTCAACCGTTACCGTCATATTTTCCAAATAAAATTCTTTATTTAACAACGTGAAGCACTTGTATTATGTTTTATTTGTGCTTTGATTTGACTTTATAATCTAAAGATAGATTCATAATCTTTATATGTCATAAAAGAACGCAGAATGTAGCGTTTGGAATTCACCAGACATAATGTATCACGCTTTATTTACAGTCGCACTAGCAGCTCCACTCCATCCGCTAGATGTCTCTAGCAAGGCGTAATTTCCAGTGGGTTTCATTTGAAGTTTAAAGTCTGTTTAACTTAGTCTGTGGTATAAGTGAAGTCCCTTAATTAACAACCAAACTCAAACAGTCTTATCGATGCTGAGTGGTTGATGATGATTCTCTATGGATTCTCGTGACTGTGTATTATTTGTGTGTGCAAAAAGTAAGAAAAAAAAATATATATATTTTTACTACCTTTCTCCCATCACGGGATCCCTTAGTTTCTGGGCCCCGTAGCAATGCTATGGCTACTACAGCGATATTTAAGCCACTCTTTTCTTTGTAGCAGTTGTGGCTCTACTATTCAGTACGTTTTTATATTCTTTAAAAATAATTATTACTTAACTCGAACTAAAGTATATTTCATTAACGTGTTTTACCAGATGGCTGAATCTTGCGAATTAATGGTTCTGTCCTTGTTGGGTGGATTTTTAACCTGCGAATGGAAAATAGCATCTTACCAAGTAGCTCTTCTAACGTCAGTAAGTATAATATTTTTATTATTATTTATTTTGTAATTTCTGACCGAATGAAAACAGTGGAGTGCATTATCAATAGATATGTTAATCCAAAATGTTATAATGTTTATGTCTAAAACATATATCATACAAGTATTCGTTAGGCATAAAAGTATATATTTTTTCAATTTTATTATGTGCTTTCGAGATACTATTTTATTCGTGCAAAGCTATAGAATGATTTATATGCTCTCTGTCCACAACGGGGAATCGAACTTCGGATTTTAGTATTGTAAGTCCTAAAATTTATCGTTGTCCTGGTGGACGAAAAAAAAAGAATTATAACTAAACATTTTATCTTAGCGACAGAGTGGAGTTTATCATAACTTTTTTTGTAAAATTTCACTACGAGTAATGAATATTTATTTACCTTATTTATGGGAGTACATATATTTGTGGGCTTAAATCGTGTGATGCTGTTTCTAACAACACAAAATAATGTTGGCTATTACATATAATAAGCTTGTGTCTTAATTAGATGTGTTGTGTTAAAGATTACGTTTGCATATTAAGAAATTTTGCACTTCTCTGTGTGTGTTGGTTATTGACTAATATTTGAAAAGCACATAGGGGTTAAACAAAAGGCACAGTTAGAGAAACCTAATACACAAAGTTTATTACTTCCTCTGAAGTAAACTTGGACAAAATGTGAAAGTTAAACGTGTGATATCAGGTGTCGAAATAGGCATCAACCTTAGAACATGCTTAGACAGAAAGAAATTTGTTCCGATGTGAGGGAAGAAGAAAGTGTGTAAAAAGAACTGATTTATCAAAACGGGGAAGTGAAATTGGTCAATAAGGACGAAACGTGAAAATCAATGAATATTTGAAATACAAATTTATTCATTTCTTATATATATATATATATATATATCAGTTACAATATAGACTTTAAGATAAAAATTCATAATACTCAATTAAATATATATGTTAAGTTTAGTTCAGTTTTGCATTGACCTATCTTGATCTAAAGAGTTCCATAGAAAAACATTATCAGAATCAATCATATGATTAGAAATTGGATATCACTAGACATTGCCTTCTAATGTTAATTACAAAACCTAACAGCATTTTTATAACAGTAACTGTAAGACATGGAGCAAGTACAATATTTTATAACGTTATTAGTATATACAAGACAGAAGTGCCACTCCAGCTTGTGATTTCACTAAGCCTTGGTAACAATAAAGTAATGTGTTCAAGTATATACATCTTATTCTTTTATATCTGAGTTTTTCCTACTTTTCCATTTTTAAACATATTTTCCATACTTGGCAGATGGTGTTTCTTGCATTGGGTATTGGAGCTCCGATATGGGGGAAAATGGCCGATAAATATGGTCGTAAAAAGGTAGATGTCATTCCTTTTATCTATTTTGGATTGTTTTTATAAATCTTATAAGTAATAAATGGGGTGATTTTTTTTTCAAATGCTCTTTACGTGATGTAACTGATGGTTAAGTACAACTTTCTTTTATATCTTAATTTGTAAGTTGATCTATAAGAAGTGTTCTAAACTGAAAACATTATAAAAGTAAATGTAAGTTGAAGATTACTGAAAAAAATATATATATAAACTTCATGTTAATAAAACTATAGGATTGATGCTCTCAAACAAGCAGCCAATAGTCCGATAGACTTGTATACATTTTATTATTTCTACCGACCAAACACATCATGCATATATACACATTACACACAGGAAAATACTTAAGATATGTATTTCTATATTGTTTATATACATTGTTATTAAAACATATAACTTACACCCAAAATAACATACTATTGCACGGTGTCTCCATAGGATCAGCAAAACTTTACAAGAAATGAAAGTTTAACTTATTTAACAACTTTCAGTGAATTCATCACGTCCTTAAACAGAAAACATTTAGAGACCCACATTGGAGTATTTAGAATCTCATTACTTAAGACTTCGTGAAAAAGAATTTAGACCCTTGCATGTAGATCCTTGTAAGCGTCGTTAGAAGTAATTATTGTATCATTGCTATTCTTCTCTGGCGTTTCGTGTGCTTCTAATTAATATGAAAGATGCTGGTAACAGTATTTGTTATAAAACCTTTGGGCAATTCTAGGCTAGGAATTATCAGTACTTTCAACTATATAACGTAATTGTAGAGTATCACTATTTACCATTTATAAGGCTGTTATCATGGGTACAACTGTCAGTAAGAATCAGTACATGTTTGGTACATACTGGGCCATAACTACTTAAGTTTAACCCTTTCAATTTGGCAGATTACATTTTGTTAATTGAAAGACGTTAAACGTTTCTTAGTTTTGAAAAGTTTTTGCAAGCTCTGTTACACAGGAATCCAGTAATAACTTACATCTTTGTTTTTCGTTTTGAACGGCTCTGGCGAGAGATATTAACTTGGTAAAAAAAAACAACAACAAAGTATATAACTAACTTAATGTGGTCAACCATAACATCTTTCATTTGATAGAATACAGTTAGACCTCGTTTGTAACTGTTATATATATATATATTATACTTTTTCAAAAATTCCATGTATATTTGTATGCGGGTTAAATTAGATTAAACAATAATACAAGGAAATTACATTGAAATTGTTTAATATGTTGAAAGTTATATTCTTTAAGAAGTTTAGGCTTATCTACAACATTCTTCAGTGTATAGTAGTCAAAGATTATGGTATACAGAGAGCGAAAACTTGAAATAACTAACATTGCAATGTCTTAATAATTTATGGCAACATGTCAAGCTATTTAAAATTTTGTAGACGCCCAAATCAAAATGATTACTGTGTTACATTGGATTGATGCCTTCAAACATTATCATGTTTAAATGAACAATATGCATTACACCAAACACGTCTGATTTAAAAGAATAATAACTTAAATGTTCTAGCAAAAAGTTTTAGAGTTTTTATAAGCTGAAAACTTCTTCAGAAATATAATAGAGGAGAGTTTAACAGAATATGATTATTAAAGCCCTATCCTTTAACAAGTGAAGGTGACTTTTCATGTTAAAAGTTTAGGTTAATATTCTATCTCTTCTGAACCATTGTGCAAAGATAATTCAACTTTGATTGGTTTGTATAATTCAAATTATTAGTCAGTCAGACGAGCTTAAAAATGTTATTTGTAAGATGAGCACTATTTTTGTTATATTATTTGTGTTATTATCTAGGTATTTACAGGTACAACTGTAATTGTTGTAATTTGTGGAAGTCTAACTATTGTAGCGCCATCTATTGAATGGATGATCGCAATTCGTGGGCTTCTTGGTTTTTTTCTGCACGGCATGATCGGGATGTAAGTATACAAAATTGACAAAAAAAAAATTAGCTTGATCTTATATCTTAGTACACATCTTTATATTTTCGTAGTAATTATATTTCGGTAAAATTAATAAAGCATGGTTAAAGCTAGATTTGAGCCTGTTTGATCCAAAGTATTGCATTTTTTCCTATTTATGTTAAGAATACAAAATTCTACATAAAAATACAGTTGAAGATTACGAGTGGTCATTAAATGCGAGATTTATGCCCTAAAAATCAACTTTCGAAAAACATAAATTCTCAAATTAAATATGTATATATAGGTCTAGCTTGCATGCTAATGTTTAATATGTGGAGATAAATATATGTTAAATTATTAATAACACTGCTATTCCTATTAAAGCTTTTACGTTCTTGTGTAAATGATAAATTCTCAAATTAAATATTGTTACGACATCGAGGTCACGTGACTAATATCATGCCACATCGTTCTCGAACACTCACGTCCTTTCCTTATATCTAGTGATCCTTCTAGATATAGTGTAGTCTTGTGTATATAAGACCGGCCGAAGCGACGGGGAGGATGAGTAATTGAATGTATGCTGACAGAATATTGTTGGTCACGTGAGACGTTCGTTGTGAGTTATAGCGTTTGTTATAGAGCGACTGTTGAAATTAAGTGTATCGTAAAGTTGTACTCGGAAAGAATAAACCAGTTTTATTTAAGAAAGGACTTGTGTCGCTAAAGGTTCGTCGGAACGAATTTAACGGAAAATTAACTAACGAACGGAGACGTAACAATATGTATACATGCATCAAGTTTGCATGCTAATGTTTATCATGTGGAGATAAGTATATAAGTTAAGTTGTTAATGATATTACTATTCACTATTAAAGTTTTTGCGTTCTGTTTTTAATAGATAGCACATAAATAATCTTTACTACTTTAATGCTGAAAGACAGAAAAATAACTTCTTTTTGTTTCAGAATAGTCCTGTATATGGAATATCTTCCTACTAAAATGCGAGGGAAGTGCACGTTGGTCTTCTTCGTAAGTTTATTTTTTCTAGATGCTCGTGAAGCGAGATCTATACAGTTTTCGAACCTTTACTACAACGTTTTTCTTTCAGTTGTTAGAATATTGTTTGTATTAACAATATCGATATGACATTGTGCGTTGCGGGCTCATAACTGACCTTGAATTTCTTTAATTTTCAACAGATCTTTAATTAACTTTGAGTTTAAGAAAATATTTGCCTGTTTTACTTTTTATATCCTGAAAACAGATAACTTCAAACATGGTATTGGAAACTAATATACGTTCGACTTTATGAATTGTTTTCTTTTTTTTTTCCTTTGTGAGGATTAGATCATAAAACAATCTACATCATGAAACGTAGAAATAATATTTAACAACGATGAGAGATAAATGGTTACACTGAATATGTTATTATACCATATAGGGTTTCTGGGGCGTTGGTTCGATCATTCTAATTTTAATAGCCATGGTCGTCATGATAACGAAAAACTCCTGGCGTCTTGTATTATTTATCGCCGTGATTCCTGTAGCCATCTTTCTGATCTTATCAAAGGTAAGAGTTCCATCGTGCTGCATTAAAAATTATTTAGTCTACTACTAAATGTCTTATAGTTTCAGCATTTGGATCTTATTCATTTCTAGAATCGCCATTATCATGTCATATAAGACACATACATATACATATATTTAGAGAGAGAGACATGCTCATCTACTGTAAGAAGTACTTATACGTAGAACATATTACCTAAAACATATTGTCAGGAATTTTTGAAAGACCTTCATAAAATATTAATACACAAACACATACTTTAGTGATTAATTAATCTTCTAGTGGTGTCCGGAGAGTGCTCGATACATGTTGACCCATGGAAAAGTCAAAGAAGCAGAGGATATTATGATAAAGATAGCAGAGGAAAACGGGAAGCCTCGACCATCTGGTAAACTGCAGATTCCTTCTGATACCACAGAGAGAAAGTCTTTCACATGTCTGATTAAAGACAACAAAAAACTTTTCTTCTGCTTAATATACTTGTGGTGAGTAAGTAATTAAGTTGTTAATTGAATTTTTTGTTAATATATTTTTGTAAATAATTCGAATAATAATGAACAAGATTTTTTTTGCCATAAAAATATTATACTTAAAATTAAATTACTGTACTTATGAACGTTGTTTATTTAAATAAATCCTTCTAAACTCGAGCATTTATATTGCCGTAGAACCTGAGTTTTAAAGGTGCATTGATACACTAACTCTTTGATTTTGTGAAAATTTTAGGATTTCCTTAATGTTTGTATACTATGGCATTGTTCTTCTGGCTCCTCAAGTGATTTTACATGGTGGACTGCCAATAAAAAGTAGGTTGATTTTAAACTGATGATGATCCTCATTGTCAAATACGTAGTATTTTTATACATTATTAACATCAAATACTAGAGGGCCCTTTGAATGATTTATTACTAAAATTCAAGTCATAGTGGACCATTAAGAAAGTGAAGTTACAAAAACGTTTTACATATCTATGACACAAAGCTAAGTCTATAAGCTTCATAACCAAATACATATTAAGTGTTATCTTCTTCACGTTATGGCGCGAGAAAGGATAGATAAGAAAGCAATAGATATTATTTGCACAAATCATAATAATTAGGCATTATTTATAGGTTTCATGTTATGTAATAAGTTATATTTGTTAACGATACGTTCGTTGTACGTAAAATATTTTATGACTTTCCAAGTTTACAAACACTTAATTTCTTATCACTTTGTAGCCTTTGGTGTATTGAACTTTATTCACCACTAACAACTTGGCTTCTTTCTATGTTGCGAACAATTTTTTTTCTCTGAAATGAAGCTCTTAACTTAATGGAATATGGTACGATCATTTCACAAAATACGCAGTCTTTAATTCCATTTCCCTCTGTTATTTGTTTAATAAACATTAATGATCTTTGGTAGGATATGTTAAGGACATAATGCGGTTTTGCTAACTTTATTTATTTACTTGCTAAGATTTATAAAATAAGTGTACGTTTGTGTGCAAAATACACTTAAATAATAAATGTTTAATGATATATAAACCTTAATATATGTTGTTTTTTTTCTCTATAGCTAACCAATATGCCGAAGAAGAACAACTATATTCTGTAAACTTGACTGCTCCGGAATATTACATGTCCTGTAAACCACTCTTGCTCTCTGACTACATCAATCTACTCTGGACCACAGCAGCAGAGATTTGTGGTAATATATTATAAATATGTACATAAATGAGCAGCTAGGTTAAGCTAGACTGCCCATTGATAGATGTACAATTTATAAAAGGTATTTAAAGTATTGTACTGTTATTATATTCTCAAACTGAATCCCAATAAATATTTTAATAAGAAATATCTCATGATTAATAACTGAATTTGACTTTTGTCAACTTTTTCATAATCATATAGAATTTCAACACAGAGCTTTATTTTACACTAATTTATATTTACTTCTCAAATAAAGCAATATGCGTGTGCAAAATCAAAGTTACCGTAGTGAATTCAAATTCGATGACGAGGAACCCACTTTGAGACTAATATTGGTTGGAGACGGCTTGAATGGGTAATGAAGAAAAACTTTAATATAAGTTAAACATAACAGCAAATGTACAAAGTTTTGTTATCATCAGGTACAAGTAGTTTACACTGACATATATATATTCAGGATGGAATAAAGAGGTCACATGACCGAATACTGTTGCACGACTTATAAGAGATATCTTGGCATTCCAGAGTGTTGGTTTAGAGTAGGGTTGTTTTGCTCAGTTAAGATGGATTCCTTGATTTTTCGTTTGTTTATGTTGCTGTTATGTTAAACTTATATTAAAGTTTTTTTTCATTACCCATTCAAGCCGTCTTCAAGTATTACCGTAGTGAGCTCTTTTTGAAAATTTATTACCGTAATTTTCTAATTATAAACCGTAGTTAATACACAAATTCTGTAATTTGTGTATTAACTAAAAATCATAACATGCAGCTTATACATGAATCTTTGTGAAGAGAATGATTTATGCCAGACAAGTTCATTCTTTCTTTCTCAGAAAAAAAAGCATCATGCTCAAGCTCCAAACGTAGCACACAATAAACATTTAAAAGTTTTTTCTGGAAAACATTGTTTTCATTACAAAGGAAAATGTCTATAATCACCTTCAGAAGATCACTATCCACTGAAATTCTATGTTTGCCCAAAGAGCTTCATTTGACAAGGTTGTAAGGGGTGTCTCTCAAAGCCCGGGAGGGGCCCCACATAGTAGTTTCTGTAAACCGAATACTCCTTTAGATACTAAAAATGCTTAGCGCGATATGAATGATGTAGTAATGATAATTTTCTACAATAAAATAGTGTAAATCAGGTTTCTAACTAACAAATAACAGATATTATGATAATGTTAATAAAACATGTGCTCCTTCAAAGAGAGAGTAGAATTACCATCATCAGCTAATAAAGGTAGGGAGCTAAAACCTGCTAAATTTGAAGAAGGTATAATGTCAGTGCTTAAACAAAGATTTAATAAAATATTTATCAACAGTTTCGGCAAAATGGATACACAGAACGCACCATTAACAAAGCGAAAAACATGCGGGGAAAGAAAACGTTGCCCAATATCGATATTTCACTTTATCATTACGGTTTTTTTAAAGACAGCCTAAGTTAAAGAGAAAACAAAATCCTAAAGCTCAGTGGTTTTAATGTGAAGCTTGCAGAAAAGTCAGGTACTACAATTAAAACGCTTTTGGTAAATTCATCGTTTCCCCCCCCCCCCTCCTGTCCCCTACCTGAGTGAAAACTGTATTGTTTGCACTTCAGGACTGGACGGTAAATTTAAAAAAAGAACGAATAGAAACGTTGTTTATAGACTATTGAGTACATTGTGTGAACAAAATGACGTCAGAAAATCGTTTAGACTTATAAGGAAAGGATCGTGCAATACGACAAAGTACAAAAAACTGAATGAATATTAAACTTTTGATTCACACATCATTGAACTTACCTCTTATATTAATTTTTCCACAAAAATTGTTTCCTATGGCCCCTAACTCAATAAAGCTAAACCTTTCTGGCGATTAATATAACTTATTTTTTGGAAATTGATTGAAATTTACACACATGTTTACTTTTGATATTTTTGAAAAATATTTAAAATAAGTACTCTATCTTGAGAACTGTGATATTTCATTTTTTATGAATATCAGTATTCTTGGTAGAATTTCGTGTATTTTTGAACGTGTTTTGAAAATAAAAATTATTTTCAACATTTAAAGAAGTATTAATTTAACTGAAGTCTAAGCTAGGTTTATTGCCGTGATTTTCAAAATATTTTCATTGTGAGTTTTAGGAGAGTTAAGTTTATTTCTTTCATATAAGAAAGTTATATGAAAATGTCATTAAGTGCCCCAGAACAAAACTAAGTTGTATAAGTTACATAAACATAAGGTGAGGACCGCTGTGCTGTATTTAATTCAACAGATATATAAAAACTCAATTATTTTTGATAATTATACCAAACTATAAATATCTTACAGATGAGTCACCAGGAAGAGGGGGGGAGTAGAGTAGGCAAGATTGTTGATCTTGCTATGGCCCCGCTACGACATAATTTAGATGTATCAGTTAATTTAAATATTTTTGAGTTTGTTTTCTTTTATAGAAATTGAATTCACATATTTTATATAAAAAAGTGTTTTAAAATGTCCTGTTAGCTACGTCGTTAGAAGTTTTGCGTGTTTTTTTTTATTTCCGCCCTTATAAACTTACCATGCTGTAGATATTTTATTGAAATGTAAGTATCATTTATTGTAGATTACCATAACAATAATAAAAACTTATTTTTCTTTTCCAGCTGTTTTTTTTGCGTGGTTGCTTATCGAAACTTCGGGAAGACGAAGATTAATGTTCGTGTTTTTGTGCTTCTACTCTGCATCTGTCATGATGTTATTGATAGGCAAAGTGCCGTAAGTACTGAAATAGAGAGGCAGAATAAAATAGTTAACAGCAAAGATGTGTCCTGATGCAATGCATTTTATTGAAGAATTTGGATAACGATACAATAAGCAGATGACTGAGTATCCCAATATTCTATCTTATAAAATAGTTGTTATTGTCATAAACTCATCAGTCCACAGTGCATATAAAAATAAAAAATTAACTCAAAGAAATTGCACATGCTGTTATGTAGGTTAATAGTCTTTTAGCCGAATTATTTTATTTAAAATAATAATAACTGTTTTTTAATTGAATTATAGATATTAAATCATTTGTGCTTTTGTACCGTAGTACCAAATATGTTAAAAGGAACTTATTAACACATGTATCAAATATTTATTAAAAACTATTAAACTAATTCTTTCTTCTCTTTGAAATTTATTTTCGTTTTTATTCTTACAACATTAAACGTAAAGCAGCATAATGTTTAAACAGCTATCATTATCACAGCTATTATTGGTGATTGGTACAATATCTCTCCTGAAATAGATAACATAAGTGATGTCACGTGATATCATACAAAGAGCCGCCATTCTGAAATGTTGGGCACATAACTACAACTTTTCAGTGTTTGTTTATTTCTAGAATTTTTGTGCAAAGTTACACAAGGGCTAACTGTCCCTAATTTTTAACTGATACACAAGTAGGCGGGCATTTCAATCAACAGCAGCCACTGTAATATTTTATATTAGAAAATTAGCTCTGGATTTTATATAATCTAACACCATTACAATTTCCACAATGTAGATATTTATATATTGTGTTAAATTTACTTTTTTATGTAACTGTCGGATATTATTCATTATTGACATTATTCAAGTTAATTGGCGTAATGACTAAGGGTAATCTGTAATGTTTTTTACTGGTCTACAGTTTCAAACACTGTAGATTGCAAAATATACTCAAGTTACTACAGCTGTAGGAAGTAAGTCCATTACCAATACCAAATATATATGTGGTTGGCATTGCCTTCTGTTGGTTGTATAATTTATCTAACAATGTTGTTTCGCTGCTTCGTGAAACATTACTAATGTAGTTTTATGATTTCCTTCCTTTGTATTCAATATAAGTTAGCATATATATTTGTGTGGACCTCTCTCTCTCCCTCTCTCTCTCTCTCTACACA